ATTTTTAATGGCAAATGACTAATAATACTGCTAATTTACGTTTTAATTTAATTTATACATACGCAATCAATGTAAGCCTGATAACTGATCAAATGACAGAATATGTAAACTGAATTTATATATATAATTAAATAATAATATTTAAAAGCCCGGGTGCTGGTCTGCAGAGGGCTCTTATTTTGAGGGCTATATCATGAGTTCAGAATTGGTTGACCAATCAAAGGAAAATGGGTGTTTCAGCACTGCCTACATGTGTATAATAAATTTTAAAGTCGTTTATCCATTAATGAATTTTCCTAATTAAATTTTAATAGTATGAAATAATTATACTAATGGATGAATTTTTTATGTATTGTTATTAATATTATTATTATTATTTTTTGCGTTTCACACCGTGGGCCATGTACTCAGAATGAAGGTCAGTATTTTTTTCTTTCCTATGTTATGGTGTATATTCAAGTAAATATCTTCTCGAACAATACAACTGTGAAGAGCAGGACTTGATTTTGTCCATCAAGAGCTGGCTGGATCGTTGGATCATTGTGGTTTGACATGCCAGTAAATGTGTTATGAGAGAAGAGATGTCCTTGTAAGTGGGTGGGGGGAAGCTATTTTAATTAAAGATTTTATTTACCCCTTAGCGTTTCCAGGTTTCCTGTAACTATGGCTTAGCACAGTGGCCAAAATGCTGGATCGCTAAGGGGTTAAAGGAGACACAAATTGCAAAGAAATAAACAATTTCATATTTCAGGCAATAATATAAGCATATTCCAATTCTTTTTCAATTTTATAAGTAATATTCCACATTTTTTTTTATAAAAAAAATGAATCAAGCTGTAAGTACACTTATTTATAGTCCAACTTTTTATAGATGATTTCTAGGTGTCTTAAGTATGCTACTATTTATTTTTAGTAGTTTTAACTTCATAATTTTTCTTCTAATCTTTCAGTCTTACACTGACTTGCATTTACAAAATAATAATGACCATTTTACGGCGACTTAACAGCTATTTAGTCATTCTAGGCATTAGTCATTATCAGAGCATTTTATATATATTAATAATATATTATATTATACTTCATATACTTAAAATGTGAATAAAATGAGACATCAATATTATTGGTCCAAAGATAAAGGAATATTCTTCTACTTCTTCCTCTTTTTTTTATTCTTCTTTTTTATACCCAACATAAGGTCATTTCAGGAGTACATTAGCATATGACTAAAATGCATTCCCAGTTTTTCAATTAACATTTGCATGCTCAGTTGCACCTGATTTTCTTGCATTTTTTTGGATGCTTTGTGATTTTTGTCTTCCTTTTTTTATTTGTACGTACCTTATTCTCTCCAGTATTTTGAGGGTTAGTGACTTTGTCCACATAATCCGCTTCTTTGTTTACTGAATGACAGTTGGACTCTCCAGATCACCCGCCTCTGCCCCAGCAGTGTTTTTCTCAGTCCATTCATGCTGTGATCCGGTCAAGGAGTGCAGAACTTACGTAGGCAGATCACTAACTGATCCTCATTACTTTCTTTCTCTCTATTAATAGATGTCTGTTTGCATTTTAGCACAGGTTGGTGATTCAGAAATAAAGCAGCTAGCAACTTGAAAGTAAATAACAGCATTTCATGTTTTGTAAAGATTATTTTTAGAACATTTTACCATGGCAACCACAAATTATCTATTTTTTGGTAACAGTGGTTTAATCATGGTATTTTGTTGTTTATATTGTAATATATTGACTGCCAAATTACATAGTAAATCTTTACTGTTAAAACATATGGTTACCTTAACAAAAAAAGACGTAACAAATAAAGTAATAAATGAATAAACTAATAATACAAATAAAACTGTTGTAAATTATACACTATATGAAATTTGGACTGCAGTGATTGGTTTAGCACCATAAGAATTTTTTGTCCAATGACTACATATTCATAGTTTCTATTGCAGTTGCATCCTTCATGGCATTCAGTTGGCCTATTTTATTTTTCAGGTGTAATTTAAATCTGTTTTGTTACATTATGCATTGTTTCATATGCAAGCAAAAAAAAAAAAAAAAAAACCTGGCAAGCGATATAGTGTTTCACCCCCTTATTCTTAATATAGTCTTTTATTAAGTCAGTAAATCAGTTTTCCAAAAGAACGTTGACAGTATAGCCACTTTATTAAGTGCACCTTACTAGTACTGGGTTGGAACCTCTTTTGCCTCCTTAATCTCTCGTGGCATAGACTCAACAAGTTACTGGAAATATTCCTCAGAGATTTTGGTCCATATTGACATGATAGCATCACACATTTGCTGAAGATTTGCCGGCTGAAGATTGGATTAGAATCTGGTGACTGTGGAGGCCATTTGAGTACAGTAAACTTATCATCATGTTAAAGAAACCAGTCTGAGATGAATTGTGTTTTATGACATAGTGTGTTATCCTGCTGGAAGTAGCCGTCAGAATATGGGTACACTGTGGTCATAAAGGGATGGTCATGGTCGGCAACAACACTCAGGTAGGATGTGGCATTGACACAATGCTCAATTGGTACTAAAGGGCCCAAAGTGTGCCAAGAAAGTATCCTCCACACCATTACACCACCAGCAGCAGCCTGAACCATTGATACAAGGCAGGATGGATCCATGCTTTAATTTTATTGATGCCAAATTCTGACCCTATCATCCGAATGTTGCAGCAGAAATTGAGACTCATCAGACCAGGCAACGTTCTTCTAATCTTCTATTGTCCAATTTTGATGATCCTGTGTGAATCGTAGCCTCAGTTTCCTGTTCTTAGCTGACAGTAGCACCCAGTGTGGTTTTCTGCTGCTGTAGCCCATCCACCTCAAGGTTGGACGTGCTGTGCATTCAGAGATGCTCTTCTGTATACCTCGGTTTTAACAAGTGGATATTTGAGTTACTGTTGACTTTCCATCAGCTGGAACCAGTCTGGACCAGTCAGACCTCTGGCATCAACAAGGCATCTGCGTAGAACTGCCGCTCACTGAATGTTTTCTCTTTTTCCTACCATTCTCTGTAAACTCTAGAGATGGTTGTGCATGAATCCCAGTAGATCATCAGTTTCTGAAATAGTCAGCCCGTCTGGCACCAAAAAATATACCATATTTGAGTCACTTAAATCACCTTTATTCCCCATTGCTATGCTCAGATTGAACTGCAGCAGATCGTATTGACCATGTCTACATGCCTGAATGCGTTGAGTTGCTGCCATGTGATTGGCTAATTAGAAATTTGCATTAACAAGCAGTTGGACAGGTGTACCTAATAAAGTGGCCGGTGATTGAATACATACATATTGATTTGGAACTAGTAGACCACAATTTGCTTTTGGAAAACTGGTTTATTGTCTTGATAATTTTGCATGCATTGCATATAAATAATGCATCATCTATCTTCATCCCTAGATGTACTCTATAGCCATTTGGCTGCTTGCCATATAAAAAAAAAAGAAATAACACAAGTTTCCTCGGTTTACACTGGCTGAAAGGCGCATGACTGCAATATTTCTTCGGATATAATCTATAAGGTGTGCAGAGAATATAATCCAGAGGTTTGCTCTCATTCATTGTTTTCCACTACTGACATTTCCCCTCTCTCAGTCAGTGGTTCAGTCCGCCTGTTTTAAAACCCTCAACCAAACGCTTTTGTATTGTAAGGCTTTCAGCTCTCCATTACAAACATCTGAAGGCGTTCAGTGTAGCGAAGAAGAAGAATAAGAAGGTTTAACACAAGACGCAAACAATATTATCACACAGCTCGCGTCGCGCATAATCGAGGGTTTGCTGTTCACCGATGACCATGGACGGACTGAGCAACAATAAGAGCATGTCTTACAGCCGATGGAGTTATGACAGGTAGGGACGCCGTCATACAGTAAACAGTCTACCAAAATTTGAATTGTTATGTTAGTGTTGAATAATTTAAACGATTTAAAGTAAAACGCGAGGAGGAATGTTGACCACCTAATCAACCCACAGCTCATTGCAGTGATATGAGACGCTGGTTTTAATGACAGAAGTTATCTACAAAGTTCGTGGTTCGTTTGAGAAACAACAACAAATGGCTTCTTTTAGTCAAAATGAATGATACTTCGCAAACGTGATCCTTTTCGTAAAACCGCTTGTAACACGGCGACTGGAGACATTTTTCCTGTTTGACAGCTGAATGGAGAACTGAAGGTCTTCTGTCGAACAGTGCTGTTTTATGTTCATTTAAGCGTCATTTTTGTGTTGTACAGTAGTGGTTATTGCGCATCAGCGTTGCTTTTGGAGAGCCAAACGTCACGGTTTTATTTCAACACGTGCTGTTTGCAGCGTAGGCTATCTCTGCTTTATTTATTAGCCAGGCTTCAGCAGCATCCTCTCCGCTCCACTGTCAGCATCCAGCTCTCTGGAGGCATCATGAGATCTGCCTCGGTGCCTCTGTTTATGATGCCAGAGTTCATCATGTCTGCAGTAGGTGACACATTTGAAATTTCAGTCAAAACCAAGGATGTGATTGGTATGCTGTGACTGCGCTCGTTGCTCCCCAGAGGAACTAGTCTTACTCTGTAGCATTTCTCCATAGGGCATGCTAAAATAGAGCATTTGGAGTACATATTATGTATTATGTGCCCCAATCTGCACACCTCTAAATATAACATTTGCTAAGGTGTATTTGCTGTATGAATCAATAGCTTTATCTAATAAGCTGTAAGATTCAAATGTGATTTAAAAAAATGGGTGGGGCTATGGTATATTAAAATTCTGGTCAATTAGTAAACTACATTTTAAATAGTTCTTTAGCAGTGCTGGTTGTAAAATTCATTCATTTTTCGGCTTAGTCCCTTTATTTTTCAGGGGTCGCCACTACGGAATGACCTGCCAACTTGTTCAGTATATGTTTTTCACAGCAGATGCCCTTCCAGCTGCAGCATACACTCTTACATGCACACATATACACTACGGCCAATTTAGTTTATTCAATTTACCTATACTGCACAGCAAATTGTGAGGTGTTGAATTTCTGGTGTAAGCTCATGTAGTGTTTTAGTGTTAAAATCTAAGTGTACATATACTGTTTTTAACGCTGGTGTGGGTTAAATTGTGACTTTAACAGTGTGTATCATTGGTGTTGCCTTTCCATACTCCTCATCGGTGTTAATTGCACATACGGGAACTTGAGGTGACTGAGTCAATACGGTCCGCATTTGACGATAAACTTTTCATTAATGGCTGCTCCTGCTGGACAGATTCCTACCGGAAACTTGACATAAACGCAAACGAAAGACACGCGAGTCGGAATTTTTACATTTTAGAATTAAGAAGCCGGTTTAGCAACTTTAAAATCCGGGATTGTGGGACTATACCCGTGAATCATTGCAGCATCAGCCACACAAAGCCATCAGGTGTTGAGGTACGTCATTTTCCTCATTTAATAGCACAAACTTCAGTTTTTTTTTATTTGTAATGTTATATATACGCCTGGGCTATTTGTTAATTACACAAATTGTCCTAAATACTTTTGTAAAACCTTAATGTCACGAATCATTTTAAATGATTTTTGGCGCGGGATTCTACACCACTTCAGTGTATATTTTACATACAGGACCCCCTCGTGAGTCATCAACACGGAGCGGAGCGATGGCAGCAGCAAGTTTTCCGCTCATTTAATGCCAAAACAGGTGAGTTGTTTTGTACGTTTTTATCGAAATTATAACGTAGTAATTTTATTTGAACAAAGAGAGTATTGCAGAGTAGTGTAAGTTACGCTTTCTGCCTTTAACGTTAACTTACTGCGAATGCCTCATAAAATGTCACTCATAAATTTAGTTTTAGACAGCTTTCCTATCTTTACACATGCTTAAAATCTAAATTTTACCGTCTGTTTATTCGTTTGTGCGTAAATGGTAGGGGTATGTTGTTGAAACTTATTTTAAATGTGATTGAATCAACCAATGCAATCCAATTTATTATTTAACGTCGCAAATTATGTGCTATTGAGCATTTTACACATGGTACACGATAACTGTAAGTGATTCTGATCGGGCATGTGGAGAATGAATTCGTATCCTTACATGTATACCGTTAACAGCATTTCTTTTACGTTTGCCGTCAGCTAGTGCGTATAATTTTGAAAGATTTTAAGGCGGGTTAATGTACACTGATTTAGTGTTCCTTTTTTCAAACGGAGACTCGACGCCTTGCGTGTCACGCTGGAAAAATAACGAACTATGCATGAAGCAAGTAGAATAAAAAGTAAGTTTTTCCTTTTCATTTTTGCTTGAAAACAAAATCATTAGCTTAACTTTAAGTTATACCGTTTTACATTAAGGATAGCAATTTAGTGTATGACGTCTGCTGCTGTGGTAAATGTTTTATTAATACTGCAAATGCTACTGATAATATATTCTAATATTCGTTTTATCATCTTTCTCCTGGAAAAGTCTAATGTTACTATTTACTAATATTATTTTTCATCGACGTTTGAAGGAAAAATGTACTAACCAGTCAATGTTTTTTTTTATATTTCGAGTTAAAATCCTGCACTAAGACCGGTTTTGTGCAAAGATTTGAATCTAATGTTTTTTGTGACTTGTCCAACTATTGCAAGAATCCACAGAATGTTAAACTCTCCATAATGTGCAAAGTTGGATGTCTACTTTTACATTTCGTAAAAGAAATGTGGTAAACCAGACTTAGAATTTTGAAGAACATTGATATTTATTTATGTAAATGTTTTTCTTTTTTTGTTTGTTAGTGTTTATTGCCCAAACTCTATTATAATCATATCTTTTATTTCTAACCAGATGATCAACAGAATGCTGTTTAAAGTACAGTATCAAGCTCGTAAGAGATACATGAAACTTCCAGTATTGGCATATGATGCCCTTATACGGGAAGGTAAGTTTTCATTCAATTTTTTTTGATACCTGGCATTTTTTTTGTTTTTTGGCTAATGTCTCTATATATTAGTTTAGCCTAAAACACGTTTAGAAACAGATATCATGAAACAACTGATGGAAAATTGTAATTTATTTAAATATTTGTTTTTCTATTCACCTAATTATATTATTTATTTTATGCCATTTTGTGTAGTCAAGGAGAAATTTGGTATATCTCCAGATCATACCATTTATTTGGCAGACGAGACCGGAACTGAAGTGGATGAAGATGTTTTTGCTGATATTATGGAACAAAAGCCTGACACACTTTGGACAATTGTTGATTCTATGGCTACAGAAGGTTTGCAAGGCTGCAAATGCAAATATGTGTGTTTTAAATAGTTATGTATTTGTAACATTTCATTTTCTTGTTAGATTCTACTGCCCCACCAACCTCTCAATTTTCAAGTGAAATGAAAACGTTGTCACCAACAGACAGCTGTGTTTCTGTTCCCTCAACAAAAAGACCTCGAACTGACGACCAATTTACTGAGGCCAAGGAGGTAGAATACATGATTAAAACCTATATAAATGTTGCCTTATGAAATGATTTGATCAATTTATCTTTGTTTTTAAGCTTGTAAAAGATGTATTGGGGAACAAAAGTGCAGGGGAGAAGATTTTTCAGGAGTACAGAGCAACTGGGAAAATCACAGATTCTACAAAGCGAATTCTTGTGAATGCTGTAGTTGGAGACATGATTGAAAAACATGGGTAAAGTATTTAAATATAAGCTGTTTTTACAATGCATTGTCATCCCAATTAAAGGGATAGTTCACCCAAAATTGAAAATTTTGTCATCATTTACTCACCATTTACTTGTTTTTTTTTTTTCTTTCTGCTGAACACAAAAGAAGATATTTGAATAATGTTGTAAACATGTAACCATTTTCCCACTGATGGGTTGCAGCTAGAAGGGCATCCGCTGCGTAAAACATATGGTGGATAATTTGGTGGTTCATTCTGCTGTGGCGACCCCAGATTAATAAAGGGGCTAAGCTGAAAAGAAAATGAATGAATGAACATGTAACCATTGATTGTGCTAAGGAAATCAATGGTTACAGAGTTCTAAAAGAATTTATTAAAACCACTAATTTGTGTTCACTAGAAAGAAAAAAAAAGTCAATGGTTTCAAAGAACTTGAGGATGAGTAAATAGAGGAAATCTAAATTTTGGGGGACCCATCCCTTTTTAACAGACTTGAACATTCAAATCAAAATCTTTGAACTGTCTAGAAACTTGAGTCCAATTTTGCATATTAAATGGACATTTAAACTAAAACTGAAAATTTACTTGCTATTTGCTCACCCTTAAATAGTTTCAGACCCTTATGGCTTTCTTTATTCAGTTGAACACAAAATAAGATATTTTGAAGAAAGCTGAAAACTTGTAACCATTGACTTTGTTAGTAGCAAATGCAAATACTATGGAAGTGAATGGTTACAGGTTTTCAACTTTCTTCAAATTATCTTTTTGTGTTCATAAAAAAAAGTCTAGCAGGTTCGATAGAAGTAAAGTCTGGGTAAATGATTGTTAATATGTGGGGTATAAATGAGAATCGGTTGTACAAAGTGTGTTACCTTGTGCAGCAAAACTGTTGCATCACTTCACTACCTCATCATGGGATAGTAAAGTGTGCATATCAGAATCTTTGTGACGGTAATTTATCTAAATACTTCTCACTCAGTGTCCTATTAATACTTTGTTTTTGGAAATGGTACTCTGCTTACATACTGTTTCATATGGTAGTATGTGTACTATGTGAGTTTGTACACAGCATAAGTCTGTATTGCTTGTTAAAGATTAAACTCTGCAGAAGCAGCACCCATGTTCTAGTTATTTGTTTTAATGAAGTACACAGGTTATTACATATTACACACTATAATTTTATTTATCTTTGTAGGAACATTCCACCAAAAGAAATACGAATTAAATATGCTGTTGGAATAGTGACTCTGTTCCCCTCCCTCAAAGATCCCTACTCCAAAAGAGGCTATGTGAGTTGTTGTTTATTTTCCCTAAAAAAATAAAGTGTCTTTTTAATTTAACTAAAACATCTTGTTTTTTTATTGCAGGAACATTTTTATGATCCAGAAGGTAACTCTAGATACATAGCCTGGAGACTGAAAACAGTTCAGCGCAACAGTCAAGTCAGTAGGACCAGCATTCCACAAGGCATCTCTGAGAGGAGGGGCCCTATCACTGAAAGAGCGTTTTTGACAACGAAGATACAGCTAGAGGGAGATAGCTGCCAGGAAGCCATTTCATTTCTAAAACACTGTTCTGATCTGGAGCAAGTGGCTGCAAAGATGAAATCTACTTTCCAGTATCGGCAGGAACTGATCCGCAATCCTGAAAAGTCGTCATCTGTTTTCAATATATTCCCTAGGTTTCTTGACACAAAAGGCCTGGTATGTGCTGCACCAACTGATGGTGGTTTAAAATGGATTTTAATCTGCTGATGTGACATGACATTTCTGTTTTAATCTATATAAAACATTAGGTGCTTCAAGACTTTGAGTTGCTGTTTGGAGTAGAGACTTCAGCAAAGCTGGAGAAGTGGGGATCTTCTCTTAAACACAAAGTAATTGGAGAAGCCAAAAACCTGACCCAGTCATTTCATCTGAGTCGTCTGATCGAGTCTGCAGAGCAATGTGAAAGCAGTCAAGAAGTTACAGGTAGTTATTTATGTATCTCAATAATTGTGTGTTTCTTTTATGGCTTTTAGGCTTTATTATAAGTAATTTTAAGTCATACACATAGATTATCTTGATTTAATTCATGTTGATTGAAACAATTGTGGGCCATGGTGTTTTCTGAAAGGATGTGATTAATCATATGCATTTGTTTTAAAAATAATGGGCCATGATGTTTTTCTTTTCTTGACTTTTAGAGTGGGACAGTGACATGTCTTCACTGTTGTTGCTTCTCTATCTCCTTCCACCACCTTCAAGTGGAAAGAAGAATATTGTAAAGATCAGTGTCCAAGAAGCATTAAACCACATAGTAAGGTTCCACAAGGTATGCTTTGTGTTTGGGTTGGACTAATTAGTGTTCCAAATGTTCTAAGATGCAAGTTAACAATGGATATTAACTTAAATAGTGGTAAATGATTGCAAAAAATAAAATAATTTAATAAACTAGGCACATTTTGCAATGACTAGTGCTGCACTGACCGAAATAGTCTTGCATAACAATAATGTTGTTTATCACAATATATTGTACAACAAAAATTTGAATTTGTGACAGGCCTACTGTACACACTTTGTGGCTGAATTCAAACATTTATTTTGCAGACGTGTTTGGAGCAAATTTACGGTTGATCTGTAATTCTTAGATGTACATCATACCCTCTTTTGTAAAATACTGAAATTTTTTTTTTTTTCAGTCCTGTTGCAGTTTCGATGACGTGCTGAGGGCAGGACAGACAACACAGCCGTACATCTTGGCAGTCGGAACTTTGAAGAATTGCATCCATGACTATTACATCATCGTGGATGGACAACTCATTCCCTGCAAGGCGATGTCCTCTCTGGCTGCTTTTGATGAGCTTTTCAAAGCACATTATGTGTTCGGCATTTCATATGATGCTGCTTTACACAGTATGTACACGTTTCTTCAAACAACGGTTTACAACATTGACGTTGGTGTCACTCATGAAAGCCCTCGAGTCAGGGATCTTCGAGCCAAGATTCTAAATTAGGACACTACTGCAGAGCTTAAAAATGTTTAGGTGCTTTGTTTGCAAGTTGACTTGCAGTACAGTCAATGATCTAATACGCCATCTAAAACTTTCTCATGCTTTTTATCCTGGCAGAAGATTACAGTTGGTATGCAATCAGGATGATTGTTGTCTAAGATTTGTTTCATATTCAGGGTTTAGAAAACATCTTCAACGTAGGCACAACAGTGAGGTCTCTGACATGTCTTTATTTGAATCCTCCCCGGCTCCTTCTGTTGAAAGTGGACCAGCATCTGTAACACAACCTTCCAACTTAGTTTCAGGAAATCCAGGAACATCTTCAAACACTGATGAGAGAAAGTTGAGAACTCTCTTAATATTTCTCCATTCTCACTTGGCTGGACAAAATGCTTTTGAATTTCTACATTTTTGAACATAAATTTCAAAGTCTGCAATAAAGGAACATATACAAATTTATCAGTAATTGGAACCTGATCATATGTACCTGTAGTTCTATTGCGTCTACTGTCATATCTCACTCCTAAGGGTATTTCAATAGGTTCTACAACACCCCAGTTTCTCTTCAAAATTCTCTTCAGATACAACTCTTCTATGATGACTTTGAAACTTCGAATCCCCTTGGTTCTAAGCATGGAATCCATAAGATTGGAAGTATTTATTTTGTTTTGAGAAACCTGTCATCAAAGGTAAACTCTGCTTTAATGAATATTCATCTTCTGGCACTTTTTCACACACAAGATGTAAAGCGATATGGCTTTAATGCCATTTTGGATCCAATTGTGCGTGACTTTAAAATTCTTGAGACATCTGGAATTACATTGCCGATCTCAGAGGATCCTGTCCATGGAACTATAGCTCAAGTAACTGGAGATAATTTGGGAATGCACACACTTTTTGGATTTGTAGAATCTTTTAACTCAAATTATTTTTGTCGTTTTTGTTTGGTTGACAAATGTGCTTCACAGAACATTTTCTCTGATGACCACCCAGACATAATACTGCGTGACAGACTTCTACATGCTCAACATTGTCAAAGCCTCTTTTCAGATGCTGGTCCACAATCATCCTTTGGTGTGAAAAAAACATGCTTGCTGAATGAGCTACAGTATTTTAATATTTCGGACAATTTTGCATTCGATATAATGCATGATATATTAGAAGGTGTAGGACAGTTAGAAATGAAATTGCTTTTTAACCATCTATCACACAGCGGCATTATATCTTCACAAACTGCAAGCAATAGAATTTACTCATTTAACTATGGCTTTGTTGAACGTAAGAACAGACCAACAATGATTAATTTTGAACAAGCTGGGAATGGTTTGGGTCTCAATGCTATTCAGACATTTTGCCTTATTAGAAATCTGCCTTTAATTTTTGGAGATCTGGTTGAAGTTGGAGATAAACACTGGAGTTTGCTACTGCTTTTACTTCAGATAATAAATATTGTGTTTTCTCCAGTCATCTCAGAGGGCATGACTATTTATTTAAAGCATCTGATTTGTGAACACCATACACTGTTTAAAAAACTTTACCCAAGGAATCTTATTCCTAAGCACCACTTCATAACCCATTATTCCAGATGCATCAGGAAGATAGGCCCGCTGGTTCATGTGTGGGGAATGCGTTATGAGGCGAAACATAGCTTTTTCAAAAAAAGTGTGAAGAATTTCAAAAATATTACCAAATCTTTAGCGCTAAAACACCAGATGTGTATTGCATACCACTGGGAATCTCAGCCATTTAAGAATATTGACTGTGGGCCTGCAACAAACGTTCAGCTTTGTGACCTGATTGACTGTGAATTCATTGCAGAAAGACTGCAAATTGAAAATGAAAGTAATGTAGATCATCTTTCTTGGATTACTTGTTTTGGAACTGAGTATCGGTCAGGCCTTTTTGTTTGTTCAGATTTAAGAGATGACATTCCTGTGTTCAGTAAAATTACTGATATTATTGCATTTGACAGTCAGTATTTTTTGCTGACATGTGAATTTGAAACTGTATGCTTTGTTGAACATCTTCACTCCTTTAAGGTTAAGGAGGAGCTTTGTAGAAAAGTTTCCCTTTTGAATGTTGAAACCTTGCGTTTTTTTAGGCCATTCGACCTTCAGATAAGTTATGGATTAGAGGAAAATGACTTTTATATAGTTCCTGTACACGTTTTCATATGAACCACTTTAGTTCAGTGATGGTACATTGCTGAGGCTTTCCTGTATGTTTAGATTTGAAAGATGCTATTTCTGTGCTCAGTAAAACGTCTGATATTGTTTGATGGACAGCATTTTTTGCTTGCTTATGAAATTGAAAGTGTGCTTTTGTTGAACATTACTAATTTCAAGGAAATCCCCCTTTTTGAATGATTTTTGCTGTGGTTTTAATCCATGTATTTTTTTTAAACAACTGTATGCAAAAATTACTTTTATATTTTTATAAAGCATTTTGGTTCAGGAATGAGGCTTTAGCTCATGTTGTCTTGTTTATGTTTGGCAGTGATAGGTAAAATATTAAACATTTCCACTGAACTTTTTTCAATGTGACAAATGTTTGTCTAAAAAATGACATTAATGACAAATTAAAGTTTTCAGGTATGAAATGCATATTCTGTGAAGTGATTTAATGTTGCCTGTGCTGTGTATTTTAAAGAAAATAAATTCTGTTTTGTAACTTTCTCCATGATTGTTTAATTTATGCGCTAAACACTTATTTTAATAAGGCTGTAACAGAAGAATTTATTTAGATTTTGTTATTATTCCAGGGTGTTAAAATTTTCAAATATAAACTTATCTTTATGAGTTTCATGTGTGGAAAATGTTAACTTTTACTCATGTTAGTTCAAAGAAAAATAGAATTTATGCTGAATATGACCTGGCTATGGTGATGGAGTATTTACTATTCACTATATCTAGTTTATAGTTTTTACACTCTTAGTGTAAAATTATTTACTCAGCTTAAGTGTATATATTCAACACTTTTCAAAGAGTAACTTATACACTGGGCTGGTGGGACTCGTATATACACCAGAAGAGAGTGTAATTTGACACCTGAGGAGTTATATGTACACTGGACAATTTGCCCTGCAGGTGTTAAAAATGTTTAATGTGGTGTGCATTTTTACACTCTAAGTGTAAAATATTTTACACTGCAGAGGTGTACATATTCAACACTTTTCAAAGTGTAATCTGGACACTTCGCTGGTGGGACTCATATAGACACCAGAAAAGTGTTAAATTCAACACCTGTGGTGTAAAATGTACACTGGCAAATTTGCTGTGTGGATGTCTTTGGACTGGGGGAAACTGGAAACCCACACAAACACAGGGAGAACATGCAAACCAGCAACCTTCTTGCTGTGAGGCGACCACTGAGCCACCATGTCGCCGGTTGTCAAATTCTATTTGTAAAAAAATAAAGGTGCTGGCTAGGGAGAACCAAAAAGGAGTTTTCACAATGATGCCATATAGATGAACCTATTATGACTTCCCAAATAATCCTTTAGTGAAAAGTTTAAAGGACCACAAGTCAGTCATAGTGTAAAGAACCTTTTCATAATCTGAAAAAAAAAAAAAAACGTTTTCTACTGTATATAATCTTTTGTGTAATGAAAAGATTCCATAATGGATCAATCAATGCTGTTTTCTTCCATAGGGAATTTAACCATTAAACCATGAACCTAACCAACATAAGTGGATGAAAATGTGATGAAAAGACAACTGTACAAACTGTTAATTGACAGCTTTTATGTTAGATAAACTGCATCTACATTCATTAATTTTTCTTCGGTTTAGTTCCTGATTTATCAGAGGTTGCCACACCTACATGTATTATATTTAATAATATTTTGAGATCATAGGGATGTCAAGTCAATGACATAATTTGTAGCATGTAAAAAATAAATAAATGCATGACACTTCCTGTTTTAGAAATGACCTTTTTTTTTTTTTAAGAAAAATTTAATCAAGTTTAACTTTATTGTTGTTCTGCTACATGTGTGGAAATTCACTGGAATGTCTAGGTATGGGCTGGACTATATGATTCTGATAGTATGATAACTGTGGATAAAAATGTCACGGTTTCACTGTATAGAGATCACTGCTCTAAAATGTATATTTATTTTAAATGTCTGAGAAAAAAATAAAAATGTTTTCCACCATTTGAACACAAAATATTTTATTTTCAGAAACATTTGGGAAATATTTTGGCACAGTAAACATGTCAGGGTAAATAGATCAACTGAATCATTGACTTCCGCTGTCTTGATTAGTTTCAAAAACACAGATTTCTTAACAATTTAAAATGGCATCTTTGGATATCGTTTTTGCTGGAGATGCAGTTGTCCTAAAAAGCAAAAAAAAAAAAAAAAAGCAAAACACTTTTATTTATTTTTATTTTTATTTTTTACATATAACGTAGGAATGGTATTACAGAAAATATTGGTGGTTTTCCAAACCGCAGTATACCTTGAAAACAGTTATCTTCCCATGTCTAGTCATGTCTCCCACGACCACAGTGCTACACAAATAAACAAAATTATAAATATGAACACAGCATTGGATGTAAGAGCTAATTTAAACAATGCATATAAGGGCTGCACGATATCAGAAAAATCCAACATCGCAATATTTTGTTATTCTGCGATTTATATATTGCTATCTCTATTTACAAAAAAAAAAAATCTATTTACAAAAAAAGTATAATTTTAGATTGCACAAATCATAATAAACAATCTACAATCATAGATAAATACAATAAAGAAAAATATACAAATTAAATTCACAAGGTTTTATTGTTTTCCAAGGAGTTTAACAGGTAAGAAGTTATTGAATAATCAAATGCTAAATTTTATTAGTTTTCATTGTATAAATAATTCAATAAAAGGAAACGTTAATAAAGTTACGGTACAATTTCAACATGTGACTCTTGCGAATGATCACATTGCGATATCAATGCTGAAACGATATATTGTTCAGCCCTAATGCATAAACTATACATACTTAAACTATACACATAAACTAAGACAGACTAAACAAGTGCTTTTAAGTAAGACTTACCGATATTGTGCAAGATATATTTCTTTCACACTTTGACAAAAACAAGTAGTGCAACATGATTTATGGTAAATACACAAGTAAAAATATATATTTTTATTGAGTTCTTGTAAGGTGGAGTTTTAGTAAAGGATATGGAGCATATGGAGAAGAGTGTTTCTACTGGCGGTTTATCAAGTCCACTCACCTGTGTAAAGCACACTCAGAAATGCACAATGTTTTTCAAGACATATGTAGTGAGTTGAGGAAAGTACCTGGTGCAAATGCACAAAACTATCAGTTAAAATGTCAGTT